AGGGTCAGCTGCAGGAGTTTTATCTCAAGGAAAGCAAATTGGAAGCTACAAGAGACCTGGCACCAACTGCAGCATCTTTTTGTGCAACACTCCATGTGAAGTGATGCAGATAGTGTGGTGTAATTGGCTTAGGAATTAACATCCCTTTGCAATCAGCAGAATAGGTAACTCTCAGAGATTTGATGGGGGAGGATGTTTGCAAACATAAACATGTAAAACTACTGCATCAGGTATACTCAGTTCACAGCCTAAAGCGTCTCAAATACGATGATTAGAAACCTAAATTTACAAATATAAAGATCTTGAAGTCATTGTGAAATTGTAATAGCCACCAACCTAGAATACTCCAACTAGTAATTCTTTCCTAATTGTCCAGTTTTAAATGAATGTAGCAGATCAGGTTCTATTAGAAAGCAAAAAAGTAGAGCATTTTGCTTGTGAGCTTATTCGTGTAGTTTTTAAAATCATTGTTAAATGTGCAGACATGATACACAATACAAACAGCTAATGTGCAGATTTTGAGTCTTTTAAACAGTTTTCATTAACACAGCCTTACAAACAGCTCTTTTATAAAGCAGTATACAATCTATGAAGTAGAGCAGGTTATTCAAATAAGATCTATCAATTAATCAAATCCAAAGATGATGTTAGGGTTAGATTAGAAAGCAGGATTTAAAGGGTGCAGTAAAGCTGCAGGATGACAGGAAAGGGATATCGAATGTAGATGAACCTGACAAGTCAAAAGGGTCCTACATCAGGGAAGTGACCCAAAATTCAGGACAGCAATTCAGCTGACCACCCCTGCTCTTGGGTAGATAACTCTAGTCATTCCTTTGCTTTTTGGTGTCAAGCTCTTGCTGCTGCAATATATCCCTACACCATAGTGCCAGAAGCAATCCATGCCTTAGTTTCCCTTTTTTGACAGCACTTTCCATACTTACCGGCACTAACTGCTCATTATCAGTCACCATTAATCCCATATAGTCACATTGCCAGAAATGCTGTGTAAATTTTTATGAAATAAATGCACTCAGAATCACAGTTACTGTGACAACACTACACTAAACAATCAAGTTTCTTCCAGGATTTTGATCAGAAAGAGTGAGGTTTCTGTAGTAACCTCCTCAAGCAGACACTTCCCTTCAATTTAACAGAGTCAGTGAGTAAAGTCTCTTACACATGCAAGCACACTTCAACAGCTCAGCTTCCAAACACAGCTATGGAAGTCTCAGGGGAGTTGCTCCACGTTAATCCAGCTCCAGAGCTACTTAGAGGATACCACACAACGTAAGACAGCAGAGCTGAGAATTTCAGAGTCCAGGCAGGTAATCTATTCTACTGTCCCCATCCAGCCTGAGCCTTACGAGTGATGCACATCTCAGCCTTAACCTTGAGTCATCCACCAAAACAATTCATACTGTGCCACCTAATCCATGACTAAAGCCCAGGAACTTTCTCATCTTCTAATCTTCAGCAGTGATTATATGATGGGAGCTGTAAAATGAGCAGCGACCTCCGGGACTGATGCTGAAGAACTTCCCATGCTCAAGGCTTGTAGAACCTACATTGTAAAAATATTTTCAGGATGAGATTAATGTGTTAGAACATGCAAGGAAGACTTCACCTTCTGTCATAAACTTCAGAACATCTTTTGTGCTTGCTTTGAGCTAGTAACAACAATCAGTATAAATGGTCAATTAATCTGTGCTTAACGACTGAAAGATCACTGGTAACTTCATACACAATCACATTGATTTGAAAATAGTATCTGGAATGCAATGTAAATTAATACATTACTTCACTTTGCCTTGACAATTTTTGTGCAGCAGTATTAGTAAACAAACTTCATTTCTGAAGCAAGTGAGACCTATTTACTTCTGTAGTACAGCAGGCAAATGATAAAGCTTTCAGTATTTAAAATTATCCAGAAAATAAGTGTTTTTCTGTTATTTTAGATATAAGTTTTGTTTATATATAAATTTAAAATAGAGGCATATATTTCCCTATAAAAGAGGACTGGTAGGTATTTGGTGCTGGAGTTTGTTGTCAAACTAATAGTTTTTACAGGTTAGGTCCTGAAGGAAAATATTAATCCTTGCATAAAGGAATGCACCACTTAAAGCTTTAGGTAGAGCTTTAATAGTCCATACAGCTTAGTGCAATCCATTACTTTGAGTTAAAATTAACTAAGGTGATTAGTAACCTGGGAATAATGGATTAGGAAGAAAACTTTTTTTTGTTTGTTTCTTAGGGGATAAGCAGCAAAGGAAATGAAAATAAAATGAAATTTAAAATACTGACATGTCCAATTTCATTTCCAGATTAGACTTCAGTACAGCTTATTAATTGCACACCCTTACACAGTGCTTTCCCAGCTCAGATTTGTACTGTGACATCCTCCAAAGTTGCCACCTCTCTGCCAGTGAGTAAAACCACTGTAAAAGTACTTTGCTTTTTAGAGTTACACTCTTGCTGCTGCAGTAATATGTCCCTAGATCATAATTCCTAGCTTAGTTTTGCTTTCTTTGGCAAAGCAATAGCAGCTTTGTCCAGGGTTTTCACCACCTCTAACTGCTGATTACAGATCAGCACTGGCTTCATATACCAGGACACCAGAAATGTTCTGTTGAAATGAGATTGATGAAAGAAATGCACTTAGAAATGCATCAGCATGACCTGCCACAGTACACCACTAAAAAATGAAGTTTCTTTCTGGGTTTTAATTGGCAAGACCATGGTTTCCATAGGTGGTTAGCAAATGCTTTAGAAAAATCCATGTAAAAATCTAGAATTAAATAAAGGGGAAAGTAACCATATGAAGGTTTCTGGAACTGAAACTGACTGATGATGCAAGTTAAACTTCAAAACACGCTTAAAGAACAAGTATTCCTTAGTCTACACAAGTCTTCTTTGTGGAAGGAGCCGTTAAAATTAATTCTGAGTTAATCATTATGTATGAGGCCACTTTCCTGTTTTTGATCAAACAGGTAAGAGAGGATTTTACTTAGGTTTTTCTATCTCTAGACTGTCAAGACACCAAGCAGCTACACAGCTAGGGGTGGTCTGCTGAATTGCTGTCCCAGATTTTGGGACACTACGCTGACATAGAACACTTTTGTCTTGTCAGGCTCACTTACATCACAGAATCACAGAATCGCTCGGTTGGAAAAGACCTCTGAGATCATCATGTCCAACCGTTCCTGTCTACCCCCTAAACCATATCCCTAAGTACCTCATCTACCCGCTCTTTAAATACATCCAGGGATGGTGACTCCACCACCTTCCCGGGCAGCCTGTTCCAGCCTCTGACAACCCTCCCAGTAAAGAACTTCCTCCTTATCTCTAACCTGAACCTCCCTTGGCACAGCTTGGTGCCATTTCCCCTTGTTCTATCCCCCATCACCTGGGAGAAATTCTATATCCCTTTCACATTCTGGGTCATCCTACAGTTTTACTTTAAATCCTATTTTCTTAACCAAACCCTAACAAGATCTTTGGATTTGATCTTTAATTGATCTGATTTGAAAGAACTGGGCCCCTGTCTCCTGCTTGTTACAGCATCTTACTTTTAGTTACATTTATAATAGTTTTATTTGTATGCCCTAATAACTACAAAGTAATTGCACTGATTTCCTTACACAGCAGTTCACTTATTAGGGGGGAAGCTCTCTTAGGTCTTGTTTTTTTCCCTCCACTGTTAGCAGTGGGGACCCTTAATAACAAGAGCTAATCCTCAGGGCTGAGGTAAAAAAGACTCTCACCACTGAAGACTTGTTTGTTCATCCCTGGGTTTCTCCACAGCTTAAATATTTTGTCTCTTTACAAGTCGAGGTCCCGCAAGGACCCAGTGACTCTGCCACCCCTCACACTGGATATGCTCACTCTGCTAGTAAAGCAGGGCACCATTTTCAACACCCGAAAAACCTGAACAACTCTGGGCCCCCGAAAGCGGCCGCGACCCCCGAG